TCATAAACACCCCTCCCCACCCCTAAATCTATCTATGGACCCCCAAATCCTCTGCTCTAAAACATGGTCAGCAAAAGGGACCCAGGATTGAGTGATGGAGGAAATGAAGTTTTTCTTTATCTCTCACTTTAAAATAGTATAAGGTTGCAAATCAATTAATAATAATAATAGCTAACATTTCTATAAGTACTTACTATGTGCCAGATACTGTGCTAAGCACTCACAAGTATTATTTCATTTGATCTTCACAACAACCCTGGGGAGGGGGGGAGAGAGGTAAGCGCTACTATTATGGTCATTTTACAGATGAGGAAATTGAGGCAAACAGAGGTTAAATAACTTGCCCAGGGTGATACTGCTAGTAAGCATCTGAGGCCAGATTTGAACTCAGCCCTCTCTGACTCCAGTACTAGTGCTCTATCCAGTGTCACTTGGATGTCCTAAAATTAAGATATTTCCAAAAAGATGTGTCTATGGAATTATTCAAGATCAGTAGGAATTTGATGTTTCTGCCTTCTTACCTTAGTTAAGATTTTCTCCTTTTGCACTGGACCCTATATTCCCTAGCTTTTGCATAAATAAAGCAAGAACAGAAGATATTCCCTAAAGAGCAAATGAAAACTGCATTGAAGATAGCCTGTTTTGCCTTTAAAAATTCCAAACTAGGGAATCCTTTGTGGAGTGTCCAGTCCCTGGGCTGAATTAGACAGAAATCTGGGGAGTGCTGCAGTTGCTTAGGGGAACTGGGAACTGGCTTCGTCAGCATTTTGGAGCTGCCTTGCTGCTGAGACATGATTTGCTTACACTACTCAGAAATCAGGATTTGCTTACACTACTTAGAAATCAGCAGCCCTCCCGCTCTGGGCCTCTCCGCCTCTTCATGCTGACATGTTAGAGAAAGGAAACATGACTTCAGTTCTAAGGTTTTTCCACGTCTCCAGTTAAATGGAAAAAAATGAAGAGTGCTGATTTGGGGCTGGGAATCAAGAGCTTCAAGTCCTAATCCCATTATGAGATAGAATCCCTCTTTGCTTCCCTTTTCTCATCTATGAAATGGGGCTAAAATTTGGAACTACGCCAAAAAGCTATTAAATTGTGCATACCTTTTAACCCAATGGTATTACTACTAGGTCTAAACCCCAAAGAGATCAAAGAAAGAGTAAAGAGACCCATCCGTATGTACAAACATACTTGCAGCAGCTTTTGTGGTGGCAAAGAATTGGAAACTGAGGGGATGCCCATCAATTGGAAAACGATTGAACAAAATAGATACACACAACATTTATACGTATGTGTGTGCATATATATGTGAATACTATTGTGCTGTAAGAAATGATAAAGGGGATGGTTGAAGAGAAGCCTGGAAAAATTTGCATGAACTGATGCTTAGTGAAGTGAGAGAACCAGCAGAACGATTATACCACTCCGTAAAGACAAACTACTCTGAAAGACTTAGGAACTTTGATCAATGACCAACCCACAATTCCAGAAGACTCATGATGAACATGCTGCCTACCTCCAGAGTACAGATTGACATACATATACACACACATACACGTGTATACACATGTGTATATTACAGATATAGTATATATCCACATATATATGTATATCTCTATCTATTTGGACATGGTCAATATGAGAATTTGTTCCAATTGGCTATATATTTGTAACTGGTTTTGTTTTTCTTACTTTCTCAAGGGAAGGGGGACTGATGGGGAGGTAGGAGGGAAAAGATATGGAACTGAAAATAAAATAAAATTTAAGTAAAAAATAAATAGGGCTAAAACTATGGACTTGGTTTAACTTCACCCAGGTAGAAGGATAAAATGAATGTGAAAGCTCTTTGAAAAGTCTAAAACATTATGCAAGCACCATATAAATGTAAAGTATAACTTCATCATTATTAATAAAAGAATTTCAACTCTCCTTGCAATCCAGGTTGAGTAATAGCAGTATTCAGTCTCTCCTGTAGACATGCTTGGCAGAATCTTACAGTAGGACTAGGTTAAATGGAAAACTATCCATCCATCAGCCTAGAAAACATGAATCCCCTAACTCAATAGGCTCCTGGCCTTGTTAATTTCGCCCTTCTGTCCACATGGAAGTTCACTCCTAGAAGGAGGAGTGCAGAGCTGTTCAATTCTTTGGGGAAAAGTGATGGTCCTTTATATAATGATGTTGTCCTCTGATAAGCATTGCAAGGTACAGCAAACCTCTCAACGGTGCAGTATTTATGCGGGATTTCAACCTTCCTGCCAAGGCAGAGAAACTGCTGATGCCTGCATTTCGGACTCCCAAGAATGCCAAAGGAACTCGGCACTTCAATTCTCCAGAGTTTACAGCCTTTGGGGAATCTCCAGATGTGAAGGAAAAACTTGCTTAAAACAACTGTCCCTCCCCCAGCCCTCAGACGAGGGGTTCCAACTCTAGTGGTTTTATTTATTTGGCCAGAGAGAGGCTTTGGTAGGGCCTGGGGATTTTTTTTTCAGCCTGTTTGTTTTTATAGTCTGTATTTATGCTCCTCAGAAATTTACAAAAATGTTTGGGAACTGTTGGGCTGGACACCAAACCAGATAAAATTCATCTCCAACACCACCACCTCCCAGCCAAACAGCAGCCCCCAAAGGCTCTCAAAAGGCATCATTTTCCAAACCCGCACTTGGAGGAATGTAAAAAGGGGTAAGTGGGGGGTGGGGGGTGGGGTGCCATTCTATCATCATCATCATCATCATCCCCCCTTCACATTGGAAGCAGGGGGAGACAGAGACAATCAAAAGCCTCGAAAAAATGTGAGGAATGGAGTTGAAATAATTTGCAGCTAAAAAAAAAATAGGAGAAAGGCGCATTTATATTGAAAGGTTAATATAACTGCAAACCTATTCAAATGAGGATGGTTAGGGCCCGAGGGTGGGGAAAAGCCGTTAAAGCCGTTAGTGCCACAGTGGCAATCAATGTTCTGGGAGGAAAGTTATCTGATAAAGAAGCTAGGGCAGCATTCAGCCCAGATGTTCATTTGTCAATGCAAAACAAAACCCAAAAAGCTTTAAATTATTCTTTACAACTAGAAAGACGCTAGTTAATAAACACCATATGAGCAGAAATGTCCTTTTAAGCCGTCCTCCCGCATCCCACCCCTCCACCAACCCTCGGGAGAGTCTATCCATGGCTGGGAGTCTCTACTTGGTGCAGCTAGCGCCTCCTTGCAACACACGACCCCCCCCCCCGGCCTCCCCCGACGCTTCCCATCTCTCCGGCTGCACTTCAATCCTTTTCAAAACTTCAACAAAGCCGAACATGCTCCTCTTTTACCCCCCCCCCCCACCCCCAGCGCGGAGCTCCACCTTACCCTTCCCTCCCCCTCACCCCCACTCTCGCGTGCATTATTTTTTAATCTGATGAACAAACTGCTCTGCAGTCTTTTAAGGGATGATGTAATTCGGTTCCTTCCACCACCCCCGCCTCCCTTAATTAAAAAAAAAATCTCTCCTCATCCTATAAATTTTTATTTGGGGTTTGGGACACTGCCTCAAACACTTTGAACATTTCTTCATGGGCGATCTTTTTGGGGGGAGGAGGGGTTGCGTCTTCCTTCCCACCCCACCAAACATAACGCCATCTATTCAAATTAATTCCACTAATGGGAGAGCAGCCTGCATGTTGTGCATTTAAATGCACACTTTGTAATATTTTATAGCTAACCTGGAGCTCAGAAGCAGCGCCTTACCCGGTAAAAAACCATTAAAGGGAAAAGTGCAAATGGAGGAAGGCGGCGGAAAACTCCCAAGCTTAATAAAGCACCAGCCTACGGGGCTCCCTCCCAACCCCCGAGGGAAGAAATGCCCACCCCTACTTAAAAAAAAAAAAACAGAGGGGCCCCTATCCTTCAGAGAAGAGTACAATGGGTTTCTCTCAAAACAGCAAAAGGGGAGGGGAGGGGAAACCCTAGCAGCCTGGGCGCGGCGGGAAGGGGGCGCGCAGGCATGGCAGAGAAAGGGCGCGGGGAAATCAGAAGCCCCTGCGGCTACATTTCAAACCCGGGAAGGAAGGCCAGGGTTTGGCGACTGGGGGCAGCGGGCTGGGGAAGTTGCGAGCACCCAACCGCAGCCACACATATTGGGTTCCCCTGCTCCACCCCAAGCCCTTTTCCCCGCTGGACCTGCGTGGCATAGGCACGCGCGCACAGCCCGAAGCCAGAATCCGGGAAGCCCCGGCCCCGCGCGCACCTGGACGGCTCAGCCAGGTTCACACAATGACCTTGGGAGCCCTAAGACCCACGGCCCCTTGGCGCCCCGTCCAGCCCCGGCTCTGGGCCGAGGCTCTTCCGCCTCTCCCTCTGCAGCCCCGCTACAGCAAGAGGCTGCTCCGCCTAGAGATCGAAAGATTGAGTCCCCTCCTGCGGAGTCTAACACTAACATTTTTTTAAAAAATAAAAATCCAGAGTTCTCTTTTTCTTTGCCATCCCGCTCCGCCCCCGCCTTGCAAAAATCCCTCTTGTGGCTGGGCATTGCTAATGAACACATCTATTCTCGGTGTCTATGTTAAAAAAGCGCTATGTTGGGAGTTCCAAAAAAGCCAGCTCTGAGCTCAGAACGGAGGCTCCCGGTCGGGTTTCGCCCTTAAGAGGCGAGCAAACAGCAGCGGCCCGACCACAGCCCAGGCTCCGCGGCCCACCCTCCTCCCAAGCCCTAAGCTCTCAGAAAGCAAGGCTGTGCGTGGAAACCCAACGCTTCGGTAGCCAGGAGGCTGTGCAGAAGGACCCAGGCGACCTCCCCACCCCCATCCCACCCTCCCTCCCTCCCTCCTGGCTCGGCCTTCCGAGGCTTTTGTGTAAACATAGTCCTCCTCCCTCTGGAAACTCCAGTCCTAGCTACAGGTTACTTGGCTGAGTCCTGATCTTAAAGAGACCTGAGCACTTTAATCACCCAGAGGCAAAGGCGTACAGTACTTCCAACCGGCTGCTAACTGGGTGGGAATTTGCAATCTTTGTTTCCCCCTCCTCCAACCTCCCTAGCTGCAGGCAGATGTGATTTTGAACTCTCTCTCTCCCCCTCTTTCTTTACTTTCCCCTCCTCTCTCCTGTACAGAGAGGGATTTCTTTTTCTACTTCTCTCCCTCGATTCCAAGACTCAAGAAGTCTTTTTCTACCTTGGGAGGTGAGTGTGTGAAATGTCATTGGGGCTGTTTGGTTTGGGGTTTTTGGTTTTTTTGTTTTATTTTTGCTGCTGCTACTGCTTTGCCGAGCTCCCTTCTCCTCTGCCTGTCCTCTGGATAAGTTTACCAGTCAAAACAAGTTCTCTATTCCCCTCAGCGGGAACACAGCCTGTGGGGCTCCTGTTTTCTTTCTGCTGAACATACAGCCAGATCCCCAGCCCACCAGATACTAGTGGAACCTCCAACTGATAGTGAACTCTACCTTGACCGACTACTCCTGGAGCAACGAAGGGACAGAGGGCTCTGGGGTTTTGATTGGGGGGAAGGGTTACTGGATCATCCCTTCCCCCCCCCCCCCTCCCACCCGCTGCTTTCATAGGCCATCCTGCTACCGCTCATTCTGCCTCATTCTCCTCCGAATGTCCCTAAGGCACTCACTGAGGTGGTAGAAACAGCCCTGGCCTAGGGGAGACGACTTGTAGTCAAGTCCCTTGACGTACATTTAATCGTGGTCTGGACATAAGCGTGTCACTCTCCTTTCCGAGCCTCATCTGTAAAATAGGGGTAATAGTACTATCACTAGCCGTTATTTTAAGAAAAGCATTTTTGAAAATCTTGAAATGCTATATTAATGATTAGTTTATTATTGTTAGTGGTAAAGACAGATGTTTATATTACCTGCACAGGTCTTAATACCTGGAATTCCAGGGTAACCATGAAACAATAATACACCAAGACCTATATGATCTTTCCAGGAGTAGCCTTTCGGGAAGGGTGCCATGAAAATTAATTTTGAAGGTTAGTGATTGGTTTGTCTCATTCAAAGAAAGCTTTCTGAAGAAGATGAGGCTTGAGTTATTTAAAAAGATGAAAGGGATATGGTGACAATAATATTTCACTATAGACTCAGAGGTAACCTGTAGGTGAAGAGAGATACAATGTAAGATCCTTGAGGGCAGCTACTGTTTCTTTTTTGTTTGTTTTTTTGTTTGTCTCTCCATTGCCAGCAGCCAGCACAGTACCTGGCACAAGGCAGGTATTTTAATAAATGCTTCTTGAATGAAGGAAAGGTATCATTAGTGGGGGCCAACCCAGAGGCCTGCTTCACTTAGGCATAAGCCCAGGACAGAGCAGATGCTCAAAAAAGACTTAGTGACTCAAGAGCGAAAACTGAAGCATGTGACAGCTTGCTACTATTGTAGTCAGAACTGAAAAATTATTCTTAGTCCTCACTCAAGTGGCCAGGATAGTAAGTGATCTAGAAACCTTGTCACAGCAGTTGAAGGAACTAGGCTTGTTTATCCTGAAGAAAAAAAAAATAAGAGTTAGGAACTCTCTGGAAAAACACACACACATATACATATGCTGGACACACTTTTTAAAAGCTTATTTTGCCTTATTAGTATTTTCTCCTTAATTTCTTTAAGCCTAGACAGTCACCAAAACAATAAACCAAACCCTGATTTGTCCTATTTGCAATGCTCACACTGAAAATTTAACAATCAAACTGGTTCCAGGACACCCCTGCTTGATAGGTTTGTCAGAAATGGCTTCAAGTTTCTTAAACTCTCTGGGCCTCAGTTTCCTCATATGTAAATTGAGGGGTTTCAATCATATAATTTCTTCCAGGTTATTCAATAAGCATTTTATTAAGTGCCACTTTGTACCAGGCACTGTACTAAATAATAGGGATACAAAGAAATATGAAAACAATCCCTGCCATCCAGGAGCTTACATCATAATGGAGGAGTCAACATGCAAGTGGCTTTGTCCCTCCAAGATATAGTCAGGGTGAATTGGAAATGATTCCTTATGAAGACATTAGCATTGAGGAGAATTAGTCAAGGCCTCTTGCAGAAATGAGATTTTGAGGTGAAAGCTGAAAGAAGCCAGGGTAGCCAAGAAGTGGGGAGATGAAGTGGGAGAGCATTCCAGGCCTGGACATAGATCCTGGGACAAACCACCAGAAAAGCAGATTCAGGTAAGATGGCATGTCCTGTGAAGACTAGCAAGGAGGCTAGAATCACTGGATCACAGCATATATGGAGAGGAATAAACATATAAAAAGAGTGGAGAGATAAGAAAGGGCTAGGTTTAAAAGCCAAGAGGAGGGTTTGATATTTAACCCTGGAAGTAATAGGGAACCACTGGAGTTTACTGAGTAGGGGGCAGAGGGGTGATCAGACCTGCACTTTAGGAAGATCTCTTTGGCTTCTAATGGAGAATAGACCAATGTGAAAGACTTGAAGCAGGGAGACCAACCAGAAATCTATTTTCAGTAATCCAAGCATGAGATGATGAGAGCCCACACCAGAGTGGCAGCTGTGTCCAAGAAGAGAAAGGAATGTGAATACAAGAGATGTTTCACAGGTAGAATCTACAGGACTTTGTGTAAGTGGATGACAAGGTTTGGAGCCTGGGTGACTGGAAGAATGGTGTTGCCCTCAATTGTGAAAGGGAAGAGGAGAGGGTTTTGACGGAAAGATTAATGAATTCAGTTTTTGGACATGTTGAGTCTATGAAATACTTCAAGGGCTGTCCATGTGGAAAAGGGATTAGGCTTAGCCTCTGTAGCTGATGGGATATGTATGGGATGTCAAGGGAGAGATCTGGGATGAAATGGATGGAAGTTACAGGGAGGCAGATTTCATTTCAGAATATGGAAGAGTTTTCTAATGGTTAGAGCTGTGTGAAAGCTGAATGGTCTGCATGTGAACAAAAATATTTCTAGAAGCACTTTTATTAGTAGCAAAGAACTAGAAACAAATATGTACCCGTCATTTGGGGAATGGCTGAACAAATTGTGGCATATTAATGTGCTTGAAGAAATTATGAATATGAAAAATTCAGAGAAACTTGGGAAGACTTGTATGAACTGATGCAGAATGAAATGAGTAGGAGCAGGAGAACAATACATACAATGAGCACAATGATGTAAAGGAAAACAACTTTGAAAGGCTAACTATTAATTAAGAAGAATAATGATAAAGCATGCCTCAGCCAGGGAAGACACAGAGATGGACTAGAGATGCAGAATGAGATATTTATTTTCGGATATAGCTCATGTGTTGATTTGTCTTGTTTGACTTCAAGGGAGGGCTTTTATGGGGCCAGGGAGAGTTAGTGTAAGTCACAGAAATACAAAAAAAAAAAAAATGAAAGAAAAGAGCACAGATAAAACACTAATCAAATATACAGAAGAAAACAAAAACACTCAGGTGACAAACAGCAATTTATTACTAACTTGTCAAACTTAATAGATACTTTAAAAGATACTATATAACAGAAGCAAATTATTTCATATCCTGTCCTCCTTGTTATTTGTATATTGGGATGGTTGTGTTTATTAATGATTAAATTCTTAATTAAAAAAAAGAACATTTTTAAAAATTGGACGGACTGCCTCATGAGCTTCTCAACACTGGAAGTGTTCAAACAGAAACTGGTTGATCAAATGCTGAAGGGAGGTCTGTGTTAAGTCAGACCAGATGGCCTGTAAGGGCCCTTCCCACTCCAAGGCTCTGTGACTGTGGATCTCTTTTGTTAGTATTTCAGCCTGCTTCCTTTTATCTTGTGCTTTCTGCAGCTGTTTACTCCACTATATATTATTAACCCTTCATCATCTGAAAGACTGTTGTTAAGTTGCCTTCAGAGCTCCTGATCTCAATAGCCTTAATTCTTTGGTTCTTTCCATAAGGACATGTTGTTACCTTCTTTCACTATTTATATTGCTGTATTCTAAAAGCCCTCTTAAGTTGTGTATTTCTGAAATGGATGCTGGGTTTAGAGGAATATTTGCACTAGAAAGGACCTTCCAGTGCCCTCATTTTATAGAAAAGTAAGCTGGGCCCAAAGAGGGGAAGTGATTCCAGTAGCGCCCAGGCCATCCCAATTGAGTTTCTGTGATAACCATGAAAGCTAAAGTGCTTTGCCAGTCTCCATCAACAGTGAGGACTGAATACCTGACACCTTGTACCAACCTCAAGGGTCCTGAAGCTTTCCCTCTCCCTTGTTTTTGGTAGGATGTGGAATTGTTTGTTTTCATCACAAAGATGCTACCACCAACCTTCACCTACAGAATGACAACAGAGGGCCACTTAACCTTCAGTGTCACCATAAAGGAAACACGAACTATAATTTAGAGCATTAACACAAAGGGGTCACCATCCACCCTGACCTACAAAATCGATTCAAAGGTGACACTGTGGACCTTGACTTACAATTTTTAAAATTATTTTTATTGATATTTTCTATTTCTTACATCACTATAGTTATCCCAAGTCTCTCTCTCTCTCTCCCAGATAGCCATCCCATATGACAAATAGTATTTTTTAGCCAGAAAAAAAAAAACAGCACAAAAATATGTGCAATGTGTAATGCCTGTAGACTTCTCATCTCCACCAAGGGGTAGGTTAGAGGTGTCTTGTCATATCTCTTTATTTTAGTCCTGATTGATCTTTATAATGAGATGAGCTCTTTATAATATGAGATCTTTATGATTTTTTTAATATTTTCTTTTTTTTTTTTTTGGTGTGTCATTCTTTCCATTTCCATTGTTGCAGTTATTGCATATATTATTTTCTTAGGTCTGCTTCCTTCACTGTGTATCAGTTCAGGTAGATCTTTCCATGCTTCTCTGTATTCATCACACACATCATTTCTTACAGTATAGTAATATTATATCATATTTATGCACCATAATTTGTTCAGCCATGTCCCACTTGATGGGCATCTGTTCTGTTTCCAATTCTTAGTTATCACAAAAAGTGCTGCTATAAATATTTTGAAGTATATGGGGACTTTCTTCTTATCAATGACTTTCTTGGGGTATAAGCCTGGTAGTAGAATCTTTTGATTCAAAGGTTATGGATTTTTTAAAATCTATTTGCATAATTCTAAATTGCTTTCCAAAATGGTTGTACCATTTCATAGCTCCACCAACAATGTATTAGTATATCTATCCTTCCACAACCCTCCAACATTAACTATTGACATTTTTGGTCTCTCCCCCGCCCCTTATGCAGGGTGTAAAATAAAACCTCAAGGTTGTTTTTTATTTGCATTTCACTTATTGTTGGTTATTTGGAAAATTCTTTCATGTGGTTGTGAATATTTTGCAGTTCTTCTTTTGAGAACTGTTTGTTCATATCCTTTGACCATTTATCTGTTGGGGAATGGCTATTATTTGTATATGTATAATATAATATAGCATAATATATAGCATATAGTATAATAAATGTGTAATATTATACGTATTTATTAATTGTCTGACCTACAATGTTAATACAAAGATAGCCCAGTAATCCTACCCTGCAATATCAATACAAAAATGTCACCACCAACTCAAATCCATATCACAATCATAAAAGGGTCACCCCCAGTGTTAACCTACAGTGTGATACAAAGGTGACCTCACCAAACTGGAGTTGCATTTCCTCTGCCCCAATCCACAGTGTCACAACAAAGGAGATACCACTACAGCTAACACCACTGATCACCTACAATGCCAATGCAAAGGTGACACCATGGACCCTAACCTATAATGTCAATAAAACTAATAATAATAATAATAATAATAATAACAATAGCATTTACATAGTGCTTCCTATGTGTGCCAGGCACCGTTAGCACTTTATAAACATTATTGAATTTGATCCTCACAACAACCCTGGGTGGTAGGTACTGTTATTATACCCATTTTACAGTTGAAGAAACTGAGGCAAACAGACTAAATGACCTGCCCAAGATCACATACCCAGTAAGTCCCCGGGACTGGATTTGAACTTAGGTCTTTCTGACTCTAGGCCCAGAGCTCTATCCACCTAGCTGCCTCTAGCTACCATCCAACTTAACGCACCACAAAGGGGCTACTACCTGCCTTAACTTACAGTGTCAATAAAATTCACAATATCAGTATGAAGGAGCTGCCACCAATACTGATCTATAACATCAATACAAAGGTGTCATCAATGATCCTGACCGCCAAAGAAGGTTCTCTGAGGAAGTGGGTATCTGCCATCTTCCTCTTTCCTAAAGTGACCCCCTGAGGATTCTCAGCAGCCAAACTGAGCTGAGATGCTCCTCTGAAGCACCAGCTTCTTCTGTTTGTTTTGGTTTCTTCTTGCTGTGTATGGGGATTTGGGAGTTTGGTTTTTATAAAAATCAGTTGTTGGCAAGACTGAAAGCGTGTGATATTTTTATCCTTGAAACATGCCCAGGAGCCAAGCCAAGATGTTCAAGTTTGATTCCTGTTCAGTAGAAGCCTTGGAAATACAGGGAAGCACCTTCAAGCAGAACAGGTCAGCAATGCTTCAAACTGTGGTTCCAGCGGTACTGGCAACCTGGTTAAGCTTTCTGGTGGGCTTACCCATCCATCTCACACACACTCACACACACACACACACACAAATATACCTGCAATTCTTTTGGCTGTGCATGTCTCTCCTCACTCTCTCCGGGTCAGTGATAGTCAATGAAGAGGAAGGGACAGAGAAGGGAAAAAGCTCAAGAAATAATTCCTTCAGCAAAGGAAAGAATGATGGGCAAATCTGAGGTTACCTGAGCAACATCTAAGTTCTTCACAGTTGTATAATAATAACAACTCACATTTATGCAGTGCTTTTAACTTTTCCAATGGGATTTCTCCCAACAACCTAGTGAACTAGATCACTGTGCCCTTTAAATAGATGAGGGAACTGTGGTTCAGAGTGGGTAAGTGATTTGCCCATAGTCACACAGCTAGGACATGAGAGATTAAGGATTCAAATCCAGGTCTTTTAACTCTAAACCCAGCACTATTTCTACAACATATGCCATCATTCATATGTACATTGCATGCAAATTACATACACATACATCTGTGGTCCTCCTAACAATTTTATTCCCACAGTATGGCCCTTTGAAGTACCAACTGGAGACTTTGGTAAAATTAACTTAAATAAAAAAAGAAAAAAGAAAATCTTTTCTGATCTTTCTTCCTTGTGATTGTGGATTCCCAAACAGACTGATGTATGAACAAATCAACAGGATGGCTTCACCAGCTTGGGAAGCAATAAACACTGAGGGAGAATTAAGATGCCAGGAATCCAGGTAATAGCATTTTTAGTTACCAGAAATACATGCTCAAATGAGGAAGGCATGAGCCCTGCTGAGAACATTGGAAAACTTGAAGCATTACATAAATGAGTAGTTGTTATTATATATCTGCAAAGATCCCAAATGATGCACAGGAAATCTCAGGTTTTCCCATCATTGTTTCCTCTACTGAAGGATATCATTATGCCATCTGCCCTAAAAGACAGAATTTGGGCTTTTCTCAAATTCACTAGAGGCAAGCTAGTGAGTGAAATGGAAGGTGTCCTCAATTTGAACTCAGAGGATCAGGGTTCACATCCTAGCTTTGCAACCTTGGGCAAATTACTTAACCTCTCTGGACCTCATCCATAAAATGAGGGGGTCAGATGAGATGATGATTTCAAGGGTCCCTCCAAGCTCTTGACTCTGTGATTCTTGCACTCCTCCCCAACATCCATACACACACACGAGTTGGTCTTGAGTGCAGCTCATGTAAGGCTGGAGAAAAATGATGGGATGAATTACACTCTTGGAACAGAGAAAAAGTGTAAGAAGCCCTCTTTCCTTCGCAGATCTGCAATGGGTTCGTTTTGGACCTGATTGAGCTGGCAGTAAAGAAAGCAAATAGGAGATTCAGTGTCCCCTAGAGAATCCAGAGATGTGAAGAGGCAGATTCACTGGTGGTGGGCTTAGGACACAGGCTGCTCTGGAGGATGATGTGAGAGAGCTGCCTTTTGGAGTAATGAATCCTCTGCCTTTGGGAACAGGACACAGAACCAAAGCCAGGGATGTTGCTTTTCAGATTCCGCCATCAGAATTCCTAGGAAGTCGGTCAGTAGAAACAGAATTATTCATATTGGCTCGTGTTTTCTCAGCTAGAGGGGGACTTCTCCATCGGATTTCATAGCACTTTTTGCTTCTTTTGGGCATTTCTCATGTGAATGAATAAAGACTATTAAATTTCTCCAAAACAGGAACCAAAGGTTATTTACCTACTGACGGTTATGTTCCATACAGCCCTGGCTTAGTGAAACATTCTCTATTGTCCTGGCCCGTATCTATTCTAGCCTATTGAAACATCCCCCAATCCACCTTCCACTCCCAGTCAAAGTGATTTTCCTAAAGCTCAGGTCTGACCCTGTCACCTCCCACCCCCTCAGTAAACTCCAGGAGCTACTATGGTTTCCAGGATCAAATTCCTCTGCTTGGCATTTAAAATCCTTCACCATCCGGCCCTCTTCCTACCTTTCCAGTTCTACTTTAACCCCCTTTATCCACTCGTTGAATCAGCTCCACTGGCCTTCTTGCCATTCCTTGCACATGGTACTCCAAATCCAGAGTCTGTGCCTTTGTCTTTGCCATTAGCTGTTCCCCATCCCCAGAGTGTCCTCTTTCCTCACATTTGCCTCTTAGAATCCCCAGCTCGCTTCTAGGCTCAGCTCGAGAGAACTTTTTCCTACCTGAGCCTAGCTGTTCCTTCTTTCTCTTCCAAATGACAAATACAAGACGAATACAAACACAAATGTATACAGTAACTTAGATACATACATATTGGTTTCCCGGAAGGATAAGAGCTCCTTATTGGTAGGAATTGTTTTAGCTTTTGTCTCAGTGCCTAGCACAGTGTGTCCTTCACACACAGGAAGGGCTTTATAAGCACTTGTGGACTGATTGATTTGTATTTCCCTTATCACCTCCCACAAAGTAGGACAGGTTTGTTGTACAGGGCAGGAAACAATTCATATTCAGTAAACAACAACAACAACAACAACAAAAACCAGTCAGGAGCCATTCGAGCAGGGCTGGGTCTCAAAAAGCTCAGGGGTCCTTTCTGTCCACTGAACTGGAACCAGCTTCTAATCTGTGGGTGCCTGTAGCCCAAACAGAACAGGATGGAGACAAGTGTTTCAGGACACAAACAGAAGTTTAATTAATTTCAGAGTGATGAAAATGCTGTTTGCAAACAGAATCCCCTGCCCCAATGAAGGAGGACTTAATGCTGCTGATGCTGGGGCCACTTATATACATGAAAAGAGCTGGACCACTACTCAATCATTCGTAGGTCTTGAGACAGTTCTCATGGTTGGCATTTCTTGGCACAATCCAGGTGTTCTTAGATCCCAGGAGAACAGTCATTCTCTTAAGTCTTGGGGGTCATGATTACTCTTTGGGGTGCAGAACCAGAGCTCTGTGACGGGAACAGGAGTGCAGTACCTGGCAGTAACTAGGACAAGGGATTGTGAACATGTGATGGATGGTCCTGGGAAATAGGGGGAGCTAAATCCCTCAGTGCTGGTCCAAGCAATACATTTTGCCAGAGAGTGATATTATCCAGAGTGCAAAGGATTATTGTTATGCCAAGCTCAGGGCACAGCCTGCTTGCTGGGCCTTAGCTCTGGGAAATAGGGTATCTCCAAAATACTCTAACATTTCTTTATTTATTTTTCCAATTTAACAGAAGCAAGATTAGGAACTCATGCTGGAATCTAGTCTCTGGGCCTTCAGGACCTCTGTTCTTGAAGAGCAGTTAAGGGTTTGAGGAGAATCAAGAAGAACAAAGGAGGAAGAAGCTCCACGATGTTCTAGAAGTAATGGAGGAGAACAGCTTGGCAAAATTTATGAGCTGTCTTCTGTGGAGAGCAGAGACCCAGAGGGTCTGGGTTTGAATCCTGACTCTCCTAGTCACACCAGATTGTGTGACCCTGGGCAAGTCACTTCCCTTCTAGAGGATTTCCACTTCCCCACGTGGCAAATGAAGAAGTTGCACAAGCCGATCTTGAAGGGTTCCTTTTCTCTCTAAACACTGTAGATCCCATGAATGCTTTGGAAGCCTTACCTTCAAACCTGATCTCTTCATCCTGGGACATCTCTTGCTAATTGTTTATGTCAGTGTTAGCCCTGAATGGTTATTTGTGATGTGTGGAAGAGCGAGGACAAGGAGTCTGGGTCATTTTGAGCAGTTATTATTGTTCTATTTGGTATTGTAAGTGGTCATTCCATGATTTGCTTCATTACAGACAGTGCATTTAGTTAAGCGTGTGGATTTAATGGGGGTCCATTCTCAGCAGGCCAGGAGGAGCTCAGCTATAGAATGATTACAGATGCAAACGTTGGGGGAGGGGGATAAGGAACACAGCAGGAGACACAGGGACTCAGGGTTAGACTTGGGGGTGGGGAGGCTGTTGGGTCCATTCTCCTACCCTTTCCTGAGATGATGAGCGAGGGATCCCAAGGAAGCTGACTAATGTCAGGGAGGCCAGGACCCTCATTACTGAGACCAGTGGCACATTTCTTCTCTTTCCCTTTGGGGGATATTCCTTGCATGTTCTAAAGCCCGTCCAGTAGAGACACAATCTTTCCTGGAGGCCCATGGGAGGGCTTTGTGAAGCCACTATATCCACCTCATAGAGAACTAAAAATGACCACAATTAAAGCTGAAAGATGACAAAGCACCTAAGGTCAAAATCACCAGCTCTCCCTCCCCATGTATTTTTTTTAAAAGATACATTGAAGGAAGCAGGTCTCCAGGGATGATTTGGTTACCCAAAAAAATAAAAAAAAGTTTTAGAAAACCGAATAATGGAATTACTTTTCTTCTTTCTCCCTGCCACCCTGACCCCTCCTTTAATTTAAATGTTTTAAACCCAAACTCCTACAACCTTTGACTGGCACCCAGGGGGACACAAAGACAAACCAGACCAGAAATACACCCCCACGGACCAGCCTAATTGAATTTCACCATCTGAGAGTGCAAAGGAAAAAGAAAAAAAAGAAAAAAAAAACCCAAATCTGTAAACATCATTGGCTGCAGAGCGAGAGCAAAAATTATTTCAGCATTAATAATCCGGAGGGTTATTAATAACACCAGAGAGGACACGGAAATAGATGTGATTTTTATCTTGACAGCGTCCCTTTAACCTTAACTGAAATCTTTTGCTTCTACATAGCTGGGCTCTGGGGGCTTTCAGTGCTTTCAGGGTCCTAGTGCCCCAAGCTTGGGGCAGGTGGGGGGGAGGGGGCTGTGCTAGAAGAACAGGAACTCACTTGTCTGGAGGAAGAGGATGCTCAGACCGGAAAGGAATGGCTTCGCCAAAGCAGTTGCACAGTCAGCCTCCGCTCTGTCTTCCTCTGTTTCTCTCCTTGCCCAGAACATGATGGGTTAGGGTTAATTAACACACTGATGTGGGAGGCCTGAGGCTTTCTTCTCCCAGAAAATCTTCCATAATCTGGTCCCTACCTACCTTTTCAGCCTCATCTCCTACTAATCTCAGCCAGGCTGGACACCTCACTTTCCCCTAAACAAGCTTCTGGCCTTTGTTCACATCTATCATCCTCTTCCCTCAGTCCCAACAATGAATCTCCTCCCCTCCTCCCTCCTTCTTTCCAGCCATCACAATCCTATCCATCCTTCAATGCCGGACTCAAGTACCAACACCTTTATTACACCACCCCAGATCGCCGCAGCCGCAGGGATCACCAACCTCAGATCTTCAATAATGTTCATAAGTAACTGCTCACTTGGGGACAGCTAGGTGGCTCAGTGGACCGAGTGCCAGACCTGGCATCAGGAAGACTCATCGTCCTGAGTTCAAATCTGGCCTCAGCCACTTACTCGCTGTGTGACTCTGGGCAAGTCACTTCATCCTGTTTGCCTCAGTTTCCTCATCTGTAAAATGAGCTGGAGGAAATGGCAAAGCGCTCCATTATCTTTGCTAAGAAAACCCCAAATGGGGTCACAAAGAGTTGAACATGATTAAACAGCTGCTTGTCTGGGTAACTTATTCAGAACCTTATGATATTTCTTGTATTCTTTTTTTTATGCTTCTGTTTACCTGAGTGACCACTAGCAAGTCACTTCACTCAGCCTCAGTTTCCTCATCTGTAAAATGAGGGGGTTGGATTAGAAGGCCTTTGAGATCTGGTCCAGTTCTAGATCAAGGATCCAGTAAATTGGTCTTTTATATAACTCCCTTCAGAACAGAAGCCATGTCTTCTATGTCTCTGTGGTTCCCATATTGCCTACTGTTGCCTCCTAAACAGTAGGTACTAAATTAATATTCTGAAGAAGTTAAGGGTAGGGTGGGAAGAGGAAATCTAGCTTGGCTCTTAAGGTTTGTGGTTGCTGAAGTATATGTCATGGTCCCACAGGCTCCAACATAGGCACACCTGAGAGACCGGAGGAGGGTTTAGAAAGTGTTGGCATACACTTGACACTTACTAGCTGTGTGACCCTGGGCAAGTCACTTAACCCCACTGCCTAGCAAAAAAACAAAACAAAACACAACCAAAAAAGAAAGCGTTGGCATGGTCCCAGCTGTTGCTTGTGACACAGAATCACCACTGCCCAGCCCTCTGGTATATCCTGTGCTTAGGACTTCTCCAGCAGGATACAGTGACACAATGCACAGGAGTCTTGCCAGGGACACACACAGGCACACACCAAAGATACACAGAGACAGCCGGCAGACTTCCTCGGGTGGCACTGAAGAACCTGCCACCAGATCTCGCTTAGTTCTCCTGAGCACCTTCAACGTGCTCAACTCCAGAACCACAGCTTGGGCACTGGTTTAATTGCCTCCCAGAGACCAAGGCTCAGCTCATCTATGCTGCCTGCAGGCAGTGTCAGGCTCGGGGAGAGGCTGGTATTCCCGCTGGGGCTGAGCTGCCTTCCTGTCCCCACCACCCTGTTACCCCGACCGCCTCCTTGATTATGGTGGCCGAAGCGAGAACTAGACCAGCCATCTAAGGAGTGAACAAAGTCACCACTGTCCTCCACACTTTCTTTAGGCAATGGATTGGGGTACTTTATCATCATTTTTAATACAATTTCCCTCCTTCTCAGGGATGGGTCAGATAGGCATAGCCCAAGCCTAGCATTCAGGATGTTGCAGCAGCTGGAAAGGATATAAATTTTCTGCTGTAAATTAAGTAGAGGGAAACCTTAAGGAACTTGTTTCTTGCCCTAGGAGAGGCATCCAGGAGTCATGACTCTGATGCTCTCCCTTTTTATAGCTGCTAGTTGTCCTTCCGGATGGAGCGGCCAGTCCTGCTGAGGACATCGTGTTCCTCATGATGAAGCATCTTGGCAGGAGAAGGGGATGGAGCAGACACCTGGGGTGGCATTTCCTTGTTCGCTGCTGCCCAAGGACCCAGTCAGTCTGCTTACTCATGATCTTATTTCCTGCCCCCAATCTCTGCCAACTGAAATCCTCCCTTTCTTCCAAGGCCCAATCAGATGCCTCCTCTGTGAAGCCCTTCCCTCACCTGAGATTAGACACTCATCACCTCTCTTCCACAATATTGTGATCGACCTGCCTTTGGCCCCTCCCTTCTCCAAGCCATTCTCCACACAGATGCCAATGGAAATTCTGAAGCACAGGGCTGACAGTCATTCCCCTGCTCAAGAAGCTCCAGTGGCTCCCTATTACCTCTTGGATGAAATAGAAAATCTTTTGTTTGGCATTTAAAATCATTCATTGTCTGGCTTCGGCCTATCTTTTCAGGCTAATTACACATTTCCCTCCCAGACTCTCCACCTCCCACCAATGCTACATCTAACCCAGCTAGCTCACTTGATGTTTAGTATAAGACATTTCATCTACAGCCCTCATGTCTGGACTGCTCTTTCTTCATCTCTGCCTCTTAAAACTCCTAGCTCTGGGGCAGCATCGGCCCTGGAGACAGGAGGACCTGAGTTCAAATCCAGCCTCAGACATTAGCTGTGTGACCCTGGGCAAGTCAAAAAGAAAAAAAAAAAAGAAAAGAAACCCCAAACTCCCGTCAAAGCCCCACTCAAGGACCTCTGTGTACAAAAGGCCTTTGTTGATTTTACTGAATTGTTACTAACTACCCCTCCCCCCCAAAAAATTAGGGTATACTGGAATATGCTGGTAAATACTTAACAACCGGCTCTCCAAAAAGAAGAAGTACACAGGAGACACTTTTAAGTTTAATCTGCATTATTAATGTTTTCTCCATCACTTTCTTAAGTCTATACAATCAACAAAACAGTAAATCAAGCCCTGTAGCATTTGCCAATTTCAGAAGTGTAATGGCTCACACTGAAAATTTTACAATTGTTTCTCTAGCTGTTAGAACTGGCTCCAACACAGCCTTGCTTGTACATATCTTGCATTTACTTCTCTGTTGCACACACACACACACACACACACACACACACACACACAGTGCTCCCCTTGTTCACTCGATACATGGATAGATCATCCTGGCCCAGAGGTGAGCTCTCCCCAGTGTTGGAGCACTGGATGTGAATCCTGGCCTGGCTACTTCCTGCTTATATATGAGCTCAGTTGTTGTTTTTTTGTTTGTTTTGTTTTGTTTTGTTTTTAGGGAGTTGGGGTTAACTGACTTGCCCAGGTTACACAGCTAGTTAAGTGTTATGCATCTGAGGTTGGATTTGAACTCAGGTCCTCCTGACTTTAGGGCTGGTGCTCTATCCACTTCGCCATCTAGCTATCCCCTGTGAGCTCAGTTTTAAACCTTCAGAGCTTTAATTTTCTTCATCTGTGAAAGGAAAGGGTTGAATTGGATGGCCTCTAAGACCCCTTCGTGCGCCACTTCTCTGAGCCTATGAACTGAATACTAAGCGCTTATTAATCAAAGTATAGGGACGCACGCAAGATGGCCTTGCTATTTGTATACAAGCCTTCTCTTCCTAAACAGGACTGTAAGCCCCTTGAGGGCAGCTACTGTGTTATTCATTTTGGAATTGCTTTGGCACCATAGTGTACAGAGAGCTGGTCTGGAATCAGGAAGACCCATCTTCCTGAGTTCAAATCTAGCCTCAGACTCGTATTAGCTGTGTGACCCTGGGCAAATCATTTCACCTTGTTTGCCTCAGTTTCCTCATCTGTAAAATGAGCTGGAGAAGAAAATGGCAAACCATTCCAGTATCTTTGCCAAGAAAACCCCAAAGACAGTCCGACATAACTGAAAAACAACTGAAGAGCAATGCCTTTAGTATTAGGCAGACGTTAAGAAATGTTTGTGAAATGAACATAACCTCTTT